AATGGATATTTTTGTAAACCAGTGTCTGATATCAACTGATATTTATTTTCAAGCTTGCCATACGTGCTAAAAACTGAAGTCACCTTAGACGAATATATTAAACGAACAGATATGCATAATGTGCACGCCCTATGGGAATGGGAAAATGGAACTGTTCGGGTTATTGAACTTCCTTCGTCATTTCACGAGGATTGCATTGGTACAATTATAGCCAAGTTGGGTGCAATATTTGATGTCGTGTCGACCACTCCCGTAGGCATTAAATTTTCTGGAGCAACGAGTGAGTGTTTTACTAGTTTTCTTCATGCTATCGTATTATGAGTATGTTTACATTAATCACTGTCTTTGACTAAAAGCAACAAAAACACGTGGAGGAGGCAAGGAGGCAGATGGGTCTCTTCGACCTGTAGGAAAACCTCAAGTGCCTCGAGATGGATCTGATGGAAGGGTATGAAGAGTTTTTAACCCTGCTCATTTGATGATGTAATTGTGATAAATTTCTAATGTTTGTGACGACATATCGAATATACCTTTAGAATAGACCCTGGCCCAATCTTGTAATAGAGGTTGCTTACTCTGAAACCGAGGCACATCTTAAGGATAAAATAGTGAATTACTGGCTCCTTCCTAATAGAGTTCACGATGCAATTGCTATTAAGCTAAACTACACATCAGATGATACGGTTCCAACGGAGATGACAGTAAGTAACGACAACAGGCATTAATTTCTGCGCAGTTTCCTTGGTATAATTTTTATTCTTTAATAGGCTTGGCATTATTGCATAAATAATCGAACAGCTATCGGAGCATTAAACCCTGTAATGGTATGTTATGTTATTACATGCTTTTTTTAGTACAGAATGAGTTTAATGTATTTTCTATTTAGTATGAATTTGGAACGATTGACCGTCAAGGAAATCCAATCAATATTGTACCTGGGCAATGTGTTATTAATATTCAGCTGGAATGCATTTACCATGGAATGCCAAACAACTTCGTAATTCCCACGCCTCCTCTACCTAACCCTATTACCTTCGATCTCTTTTCTGTTCGGTGGGCTATTTTAAATCGCTAATTAATGTGTACGACTTCTCTTATATCAGAATTTAATCTAGTCTTATTTCGATATAACTGCATAATTTACATTTAATAAAAATTTCACCGATTTTACCTTTTACAACGAGTCCGCAATGCATGAAATACACAGCTTCGCTGATAATATAGTGTAGATAGTCTTATGGAATGAGGATACGAAGCGTCTATATTATTATTATCTCGTAGCTATATAAATATTTCATCACGGGCTGTATCAAAATAATAGGTTTTCGTATAAATATATCATTGCTTAAATAAATATTCTCAAATGTAAATAAATCAATTCTCGATCACGGCCCATTACGGGCTACATCATGGTTGATTTCGTATACATAATCGCGTTTGCTTTTGCATGCATATTTCGGGATTTTATTGTGTTGTATGAACATCGATATAATCAAGAATTTTCGATTTCTGATTTTCCGGAAATTTTTTAGTATTAAGTTTTTTACATAGCATATATACATGTATATTAAACGAACTTTTGAATATATCTACATCTTGTGTAAAAAATGGCAAATCCAAAATCGATCCATTGAAAGAATTAAATTCGAAGCTTTTGGCAGAGATTTCTGAACTTAGAAAGGAGAACGCTGAGATCAAGGCCGAGAATACAAAAAACAAGATAAAGAAGAAATCGAGGCCAGGTTTGTAAAACTAGAGCAGAAGGACAAAGAAAAGTCGATCCTTATTACCAAATTGCAACACGATGTCTCATTAATAAAGGAACAGAGCATGCAAGATAAGAACATGGAATGCCATCAAACTGCCATTGATACACTTTCTACGAAAGACGTTTCACAATCTTTAGTAAATTCTGATGATACACTTGATCAGACAGTCTCACAATGGAAGGATACCTCGATATCTGATAATACTTCAAATTACGATGTATCCGATAACGCTCCAAATCCTGATGTATCTAGTAACGCTTCAAATTTTGATGTATACCAGGATACGAAGACTCAGCCGGAGGCTAAATCGCCAGAAGACTCTCAGAGTGAGGATGCTAATGCATCTAAAGTGATCGATGAATTCCTGGACGAGGTACATAAGAAAAGGGTTGGCGATTCGATCAGGCAGAGAAAACATGAGGAGAAACTTCAGGATCAAAATCCAGACATATCTTCAGTTAATCACGATGTCTCTTTAGCGACATCCGAATCATGTGATATAAAAACCGTTCCCTCAGGGTTCGATCAAGATTCAAGTAGAAAAACTATTTGTTCGGGAAATGATCAAACTGAAATATCTGAATTAGAGCAAGATGATGAGACTGATAGAAATCAAATCGTAGAGCAGGGTTTAATAGAAGAATTGTGTTTATCTACTGAGAATTCTGCGATAGATAATACTAGCTCTACTGAAATTAATATATCGGAGAATAAAGGTTCGGCTCAACATCTAGCTTATTTATTTAAAACGGCAATCAGATCTCGGCAACAGGAAATCTTAAACCGGTATTACTATTCTCTTGAATTTGAAAGCAAGGTTTGTGCCATTACATCTGATGGCAAGATCAAAGATAAAACAGCTAGAACAATGATTTACAAAGAAATGAAACCTTTTCTTTCTAATATCTCACAAGATAACCTGCGCAAAAAAACTCTTAGAGCTAGAAAACTTCTTATGTTATTCGGAAAAGATGGAGTTGGAATAGATAAAATTAAGCAAGTCACTTATAGCGCGAATGAGATTTCAAAACTGACTAATGTCCAAATCCAAAATATTATAAATCAAGTGACTTTAAAAACCATTCCCTCAGGGAACGATCAGACTAACATGACTTTGGCCATGCCAGCTCCGCTGAAAAAATCAGATGTAAAAGTAAGTGTATCAGTCAAACCTCAAATCAATATAAGTATGCCATCCAAATCCCAAGCCTCTGACTCTTCTGGCTCGATAACCAAGATAAATTTACCACCAATCTCTCAACCCAGAAAGATAATGCCATACAGTGCTCGCACTTCCTATATTAACACAATATTGAAAGATCATTTTAACTTATCCTTGCAACATAGTAATCCTCGTAGTGACAGCTATGCATTTAATAGTTTGGGTGCATGTTCGAATTGTAAGCAAGAGCATAATAAAGGGTTTATAATTAGTATACAGTAGGGGACAAAAAAAATTGCCTAATTTTTCATGTGATTAAATTTAATGTAATACGTTCTTGTACTAACTTGGTAACGATTTGCATTTTGTTTTGAGGTCACAGGTACTTAAGGTTTTTTTTCCCAACTTCTCACATTCTATTATGTTCCGGCTTATAGCTGAAACATGCTAATGAAATGTCGGTTGCAAGGAAAAAAAGTCAACACAAAGTTTTTTGTATTATTGGAATGAGGGAGTGTGCAATGCCCAAGAATTACATGTAATGACAAAGATTTTCATCAGAACAATCCATTATAACATCAAAAAATTAGAAAAAACAGATACAAACGCTCATGCCAGGGACAATGGATGATCAAAAATAATTACTGAATCCGCAGCACGAGCGATAGGTCAGTATATTTGCAATGATTCTTCGATTTCGGCAAGAGCTATAGCTACCAAACTAACAGAAAAGAGAGTTAAGATTTCTTACAAGACAGTTCAGCAGCATTTGACAAATGCTGGATATAAAAACAGTTTTCTCAAAAAGACTCCAATGCTTACCGAGGCTCAAAAGCAGGCACGCATTGAATAAGGGCTCAAATATGCCCAAGACAATTGGAAAAAAACATTCTTTATGAACAAAACTGCCTTTCAGCTCTTTCATAACATGATAAAACATTGGTACAAAGGTCAAAGACCTGTCCATCCTATTCCAAAGGACCATAAAAAGATTATGGTATGGGGTGGGTTTTTTAAGAGAGAAAAATCGAACTTGCATTGTTTCAAAGAGACAATAGACGCTAAGCTTTATGTCGATATTCTTTATGAGCACATATCTGAGATGAAGAGAATGCTTGATACTTAATAGTGGTGGTGGTAAGACAATGATCCAAAGTATACAAGCCACCTCGCCAAGGCTTTTCTTCAAGAAAGTGTGCCAGAAGTTATTAACTGACCATTCAACAGTTCTGACTTAAACCCCATAGAGAACCTATAGGCCATGGTTAAAAAAAATGTGGAGAAACGTATACTAAGTAATTTGTATGAGTTAGAAGAATATATGGTCAAAGAATGGAAAAAAATTCGATAATGTTGATGGAGTGAAGGTGTCAGAAGGTAATCGAGAGAAACGGCGAAAGAATATTATATCAATTTTTTTACTAATAATAAAATAAGACTTAACCTATCTACGCTGTAAATTACATATTGCCTGATGCAGTAGTTTACTTGTTATCACATAATTTGGGATAGCAGTTTTTTTTATCCTCTACTGTATATATAAATAATTCTTATAATATTAAGTGTCGATATTGTTCTCCAGATAGCTTTGTTAGATATAATTTTTAACTATTATAGCTTTGCAATTGCCTCTAGTAATACATATCTTACTGAATATTAGTGGTTATATTTTTTTTCTAGACCTTACTCTAATCGAATATAGCAACTGATGCAAGTGATAGATCCTCAAATTTTTTTTCAATATCAGAACCTTTCTCGATAATATCTTTGATAAAGATGCCTCTATCAATACTTTTTCAACATCTTTTTCAGTACATATACTTTTTTTTTTTATTTAAATTGGCTAGCTGGGCCATGTCTATGCATCCATTTATTTAATTCACGTATACTTTATATCATGTGTTACAGGATGAAGCTACCTATAAGTTATTCTAGAGATCGCTAGACTACATCAGATTTTATTCCATGTCAGCTTGTTGCTATTGACTGTATATCCAAAAATCTACGTGTGTCAAGGCTAATGTGCTAAAGCTCCATCAGTGCTGTTATTATATATGAAAGGTTCTATTTCTAACTGGGAATGTGTTAAGGGGAAATGTGAAGAGAAGAACTGGAAGTAGTACCTATTAGATGAATAGAACCCCTGCAAAAAAAATTCTTCTAAACCCAACCACCTGCAGTTAGGCGTACCATTTAATTTCCATCTTCCTAAAGCTACCCAAGAATGTTCAAGGAACTTATCTCACAGACTTACTGCCCATAGATTATTTCAGCTATCAGTACTTACTATTGTTTTGGCTACCTTTCTAGAATAAGTAACTGTCAAAGTGATTTATTACTGGATTGGAATAAGGCCTTTCTGGAAACTTGCAGAAAGAGACATCAAGTATCACAGGAAAACAATCACCAAGCCAACTTACTGAAAGCGGACACTTTATACACCTTGCAATTTCTGGCAATTATCATAACACCAACCAGATGATTGTCGCACCACAATGCCTTTTTTGGAAATCATAATCCCAATGCTCACTGGATCAGTGTATAAAACGGCTTCTCATGGGAAACAGCACTTTTACAGGTTATGGTGCCAGATATCATTTTTAATTCTATTCAACTGCCCTCACATGATGTTGAACTGGTATCTTGTAATTTGACCTGTGAAGTGTTAACCACTACATTATTGATACACAGATATTTTTCAATACATACAGTATCCAGTATATACCCACATTATATGGATTAAGGAATCTTCTTTATAATTATGCCTATAATGTTACAAAAATCAATATTCGTTTATTACAATATCTATTATTTCTTTCTGATTTCCTATTAATTTCCAAAAAAATCTTTTATCTTCTTTTGTAATTAGGAGATGAATTTTTTCAGGTTTAAAATCAATATATTAAAAAAAATTTTCATATAATTCAACTATTATATATATTATTAAACCTTTAATATAAATTATTTCAAATGCACAAAAATTGAATCATATTATTCTAGAGTATATGGTTGTTAAATCAAATAGATCCAAATCCTTAGATCTGATATAATTGCTTAATCACATAATCTTATATAATTAATAAATAAGTCATAAAATAATTGATTTTAGTTATTTAGTAGCTTATCAGGGTTCTAAATGTACAAATAAAAAATGAATTGAATATTGTAAGATATCACAAGTTTGTGATAATAGGCAAAGTCTTGACTCGAAGAGTCATGAAACTTCTAGTGAATGGATGAAATGGATTTGAAAATATCCTACATATTTTAGAGAAAATGATCTCTTACCTTATAATAGTAAAAAATATCTTGAAGCTAAAAGATTAATATGATTATCGAATGGTGCTTCATATGCTTCTGGAATCAGAATAGCAATATGTTTCTTTTGCAATTAACTAGTATATACAGGTAAACAGACAAAAAATATAGATAATTATAATTACATAGAAATAGAGAAGCACTGGGCTTCTTATTGTACTGGAAATTCTTTTTGTGATATAAGTTATGAAGAATATATGGAAATTAAGCAAAAACTTAATTCTATATATAATTTTAAAAATGAGTATACATTATACTGTTATAAATTATAGATGTAAAATATTATTAGAAAAGTTAAACATGTCAAAGAAATTGATAAGAAAATTTGAACATATACAATAATACAGCGTAAATTCATTGAATATATGTATAAACCCTATGGTCTTTGCACTCAGAATTAGAATTACATTATCAATTATTATGGGTGGTTTGAGAAGAAATGTGTCAAATTAATAATGTATAGGTATTAATATCTGTAAAATGGATTATTACTTACATTAATATGTGTTAGAGTTACTAGCTCCACTATAACAATATATAACTTATCTATTTATTTGCTTTATATATTTTTTTATGTTAATCGTTTTTACAAAACATAAAAATTCTCATTATAAATAATATAGTAAGTTTTTTTTTTACATCTACTCTAACTACAAATCAGCAGAATTCGATCAGCTCTTAAAATAGAGTGGCAGATAAGATATATATTATTATTATATTAATAAATAATAGAAAAAAATAATTATCTGATCATTATACTTTATTTTATCTGATTTAAAAGTATTATATCTAGCTTTAATTATCTAATTTCAATGGGTATCCCAACCAAAACATATACTTAAAGAATCGTTTATTACCTTAGTGAAATCAAAAATCACAAATTTTTAATCCCACAAATGCTTATCAATAATCTTAGATACCTTTTTTGAATCATCTATATATTGATGCATTACTCTATAAATATCGTTCCTAGATCCACTTCCTCGAAATAGTGCTAAGTATGAGATATTTTTGTGGATAATTTTAGGAGTTTGTATATATTTCTGGCTTACATATATGGGTGAGATATTTTGATACTGGTTACTAATGAAGTAAGAAATAATTCAT